CCAGCAGTGGCTTGGCCTGAGATGCAGCAGTCGCACAAGTGAGCAAACCCGCCAGGCCAAGCCGTCTAGTGGCTGAGAGCGAAACAACTCTCCTGCTCTAAATGTGGGTCTTTGTTGGGCTGGAGTAGATAAAAACCTCTTTATTTGACTTTACAATGTACTTCTATTGTGCAGCTAGACCGATAACTTCACCTAAAAACCTCAGCAATATGGTTAAAAATGTCAGAGACCTTCCTGGGAGGAAACACTGAGCAGACATGATTATTGTGCGAGTACAGTACGTGTGCAAGGACATGCTGTTTCCCAAAAAACTCCTGGGAAGGACTTTTTCCAGGCAGTGAGGATACTTTTTCTTTTTTCTTTTTTTTTTTTGGTAGATGTTTTTCAGCATTTTATTCAAATGAATGGCAGTTATGGGGCATGACTCAGATGAGAATAAGGCATAAAAAGTACCAGCCTGAGAGTAAACACAGTTCTAGTTCTTTCCCGCACCTCCATAATAAGGTGTCTCAGAGCCCTGGGGTTTTTTATAATCCCCTTGTGCCAAAAGGGCTTCTTTCATTGCTGGGGAGCGGCAACTAGTTTTATATTAGATTTACCTAGTCATTCAAGCCAGGATGATCAGCCAGGTCTTTCCATTCTCATTTGCAGATTAGGATGTTGGTTCTGCCCGAGTTCATCAGAACATAACTAGCCTGTTTCACATATTAAATCATATTAAATCATATTTCATGCTATTAAATCATATTAATACCTATGGGATTGGCATTTAGTCATTAGGAACGGGAAAGCCCTGCTGGGGACTAGACTTTCTCATTCGAGACTTTCAGTGCCTTTATACACTTGGTCTTTTAAACCCTCACCTGTGGCTGGCAACTTATTCAGGGCAGAGTATTCCTGGTATTCGTGGTTTCTACAGCACCTAGCACAAGAGCTGTCCAAATTATGTGTTTTAGAGGACAGGAGAATACATCCTTTCACACCGTCCTCACTGCTCAGAGCCCTTTGAGGCATCACAGCAAACTTTTTTAGCAGCAGAAGCTGGTGTTTGTGTTTGGATTGCAATCTTACATAGAAAACAGGACTTTGTGTATCTAATGTGCTGGCTTGATTCCAGTGGCCATGCTGGCCTTGGTTCCCTCACCACCACCATCTAACAGCCTTACTGGGCTAGTGGAACCACACCTGCTTGTCAGGGCAGAGATGGGAAAACCAAGCACGTAAAACCAGGCTTCTTCATGCCACTGTTTGAAGCCACAGAAGTTCTGCCAGCTTTTCCTATAGGAATCAAGCTATGCTGACATCATGAAAGTATTCAAAGCTTCCTACAAACAGAGAACAACATAACCTTTGTATATATTGTCTTTGCTTCATTTGACTCATATTCTACCCAAACTTTTCTTTCCCATATTACAAGCAGTCTTAAAAAAAAAAAAAATAAATAAATACACAAAACAAATAAACAAAACAACCCAAAGTTTCTTTCCTTTCTGTTTTTTCTTCCGGTGTTCCAGTGTTTCTGTGCTTTCCACTGGTAACTTGCAAGAAGACAAGCTGCTTGGGTGGAAGTTCTTCAAAAACCTGACTTTCAGCAAGCCTGGCAGTCATCTCACCTGTGAAACCAAGGGTAACTTTTGGGAGCAGCACAGTGAGAGCACACCCACTGCTGTCTGCCAGGCTCACCTTCCCCTCAGACTGCTCTGGCAGTTGCCCCTCATCCCTTGCAGGAGGCTGCCGACAGCCGGGTAATTCTCTGCAAGCACCAAGAGCCGCTCTGCTCCTCTGCTGAGCACCGGGACTCAGAGTACTCTCTGAGGCTATTGGCCCACCACTGTCCTCCAGGTTTATCTCAGCTCTACCCCCGGTTTTGTCACTGTATCCTTCAATCCCCTCTCTCCCCATAAAAGTGTCTATCTGTCTCTTAAACTCACTTTACCATTTGCTTCTTTGACCTCACTTGGCAACTTATCCTTGTGTTTATTATTTGAGGTGAAACAGTTCTGGCTACATTCCTGGTTTTACTCTTAATTGTCTAATTTTTAGTATGGTGTCAGTGAGGTTGGGATTTGGGTTTGGGCTTTTTTTAACTCATCGTTCTTCTGTTTCATTAGGCTCCTCTGTGTCACCAGGATTTCCAATAACTAAAAGAATCCAAATGAATCTTTTATTGAATCTTCCCAAATATTGCAGCTGGGATTTCTCATCCATTAGTGCCATTCTGAACTACATACACTGCCTTTAATTACTTTGTTATTAATTGGAGGGGAGGGAGAGGGAAGGAGGATTTTCCCCAAGGAAGGAAGAGTTCCCCACCTAAAAAACTGAGTGACTCCCCCTGCCCATACTTATCCCATGGGGAAGGTACAAACAAGGCTTGAGTGGGACTGAGCAGCAGAACTTTTTCTTGCCCTCTGGCAGTAGCAAACATGTGCCTGCTGGTTGCCTTTTTGTACCTACCTCATGTCCAGGTGGCTCTAAGGTGTGGGGCTGCAGGCACCTTCCCAAAGCCCCTCAATCCATGCCAGAGCCTTGTCGGACTTTTGGACAAGGTCACCATATTGGATTTGCTGTCAGGTCACACTGATAATGGGAAAAGACTGCATGACAAGGTTTTCCCAGTTCCTGTCTGGGGAAAGGGAAGGAGGAAGAAACACTGGTTTAAGTCACCTACCTGCACCTTCAGGAACTGTTCCCAGCCTCTGTAAGGCTGGTTGGTGGCACAGTGAAATGAATCCTACTGACATCCTGAAATAGATAGGCTTGGTTGGAGTGGCTCCTAAAATGAACAGTTCACCTAATCCACCGTGGAAAGAGAAGGAAAGAGCTATATCTTTGCAAGTCCCCCCTTTCCTTACAGGAACCTGAAGGATGAACTAGCTCCAGGTTGGGTGCCTAACTGCAGCAAGATAACACCTTTGTGCCTTCTCTGAGGTCAGTACAGTCTGTACCCTTAAAGAACCTCACATGCACCAGCAGCAGAGCACATGGTTACCATTCAGACACGTTAGCTCACATTTTCCCAAAGCAGAAGGGACACTGCTGCATTCACCTGCCTTAAAATAATTGGTGCAGGTAAACCCCTGAATCCTAGCTGACACCACCAGAGAGAGAAGAGACCACATTCCCTTTCCAACCTAACACATCTTGTACACCACAAAGAAAAAGTAGATAGAATTAACATTCTCCATCCTGGGGGGCTGTGAAAGCTACAGGACAGGAGTAGCATGCCTATCATGATACAATATTAACCATCAGCCAAAATAACATTTCCAGCTTAAGAACAGAGGGCAGAGCTATAAAAAATTTGCTCAATTAATTGCGGGACTGAAAATTTTCCAGAGAGCTAAGGGTACGTGTAAGATACAACAGAGCACAGCCCCCTCATCTTTTATATGGAGGTCAAGCTCACAGAAACTCAGCCTGCTTGCTGCAAAATGAGGTATTGCATGCTGCAAGAACCAGTGTCTGGGGGCTGCTTCTGAGAAATTCATGGAGTAAAGCATTGCCATAAAGGTGGCTTACCTTGCTGATAGAAATCCTGAAAACCAGGAAATGAAAGGGAATCACATAAAGTGTCTCCCATGACAAAGGCTGTAAAATAACTAGGAATAAAAATAATATCTAATAAGAATCATTTCACACTGTCCTCACTGTACGCGGTGGGGTGGGGGATGTGACAGTCATCAACTAGTGGCATAGCAGTAAATGCATTCATTGAAAAAGTGGCGACAGCAGCTACAAAAGGACAAGCTCTGTCACTCATCAGCCCTGCTTTGTTTCTGGTAGCCACCTACTTTTTTGCTTTTGGCACAAGACTCACCAAGCAGCAAACCCCTGGCTGTAGTTACTTACATGTCACTGGAAATGCGGCCGTGCTGCAGTGGAGTTCTGGTTGGAGTTCACAGGAAATAGTTTTATTTACGTTTGACTAATGCAGACACAATGGGAGGCTGCTTTTTCTTTTTTTTGGCTTTCAGTACAAGCACTCGTGGCAGCTCTCTGGTTTGGGTGCAGGCTGAAAAACAGACTGTTTTGTAGCTGTTGCAGACTGCTGCTGGGTAAATCAGAGGACGTTGTTATTGCGACTGAGCTTTCTCTGAAGAAAGCAAGAAGAGTTGCTTCATTTTTTAATTCTGTGTAGTTTTATGTACACCGTTCGCTCCAAATATTAGATGTTTGCCCCACTTGTTATGAGTTTCTCCAGAGAGATGCTGTCTTTTGGCAGCCAAAGATAAAGCTGACTGATACAAATGAGTCACAGTACCCCAACAGTAATTACTGTTAATTAACAGTGATGCAATACCCATGCGAAAAAGAGGACTTGAAGAATTAACTGTTGAGTTTTCTTGATGATGCAGCTGCTCTTTAAGATAGAAAGCTCAACCCATCATAGAACTCCATTGTGTACATTAGAGAAAAGAGCTTGGCAAGATACATTAAAGATTTTTGCTAAAGAGATACAAATATTTTGCAAGGTCAGAGGGCACTGAGGCAGGCTGTACTTACATCCAAAGGAAAGCAGGCAGTATGACAAAGAAACAGAAATATTTTTTTATCTGCATTTTCACACTTCATCATCTCAGAGAGACTTTTTCAACCTGCTGAACTGATTTAAGCCACCCCGACTCTAAGAAGTTAACTTTTACTTAAAAGTCATCCTGTGACATCCTAACCTACGAAGCTCTCTGTGCGCTGAGTTTCAGCTTGGTCCTACAGAAGGCCAGCGCTGCTATTTATAAATGGGATTTTACTGTTCTATAAAGTTCTTACGCAAATCTTACAGGTCAAAAGAAAAGGAGCAGTTTGGTAAGCAGATGAGGGATTGAAGCAACTGCTTTATAGTACAATACGAAACTTGACACTGTTTGCTCCTGCCAGTATGATTCCCAAGTGAGATGGATAAATTGTGGTCAGGACCTGGACAGGTTAACTAGTGGTCATCAGTGATGGTGGTACCTTTATATACAGGGAAAAAAAAATGAAAAGATACTATTGGACAGGGCATTTGAAATTTAATACCAGACATGAAACAAGACATCTGCTGGACGCTCACTTGTTTCTCTTTGAATGGGCTTTAATTGAAAGCTCAGTGAAAAATGCAGGTTACATTCTTAGTGTTATCAATAGTTTGTAACAGCAACAACATCAGAACAGTGATGCATCTAATATTTATACACTTTCTAATTTTAGATGTCTAAGAGCAATACATTATCAGATATACATATACACACAATTTCAAGCAATTAAAAGTAAATAATAAATCCCTCCTCCCAAACCCCTGAAACAATATATTTTGTTACACTAATAATGTCTTTTTCACATATACTTGACAAAGAATCTTTTTAAGTTACTTATCTTAAGAGTAATCTGCTAATGGAGATCCTGGACCAGCCCCATTAAAAGTTCAGTTTTAAGTTTATACAGCTCGCCAGCCACATAACCAGTGTGGCTTTACATTGTAAACAAATCCCAAATGTCTACAATGATTGCAATTAGGTTTGTGTAAAGAAGATCTATGCATCTTACAACAGAATAAATTTAAACCAATACATTAAGCAGAGACAGAGAAAGGGAGAGAGTTAATTGACAAAAAAAAAAAACAAACAGTTTGGGGAGGATCAATTATATGATTATTTTAAAAACAAGTTAACTTAATAGTAAGATTCTTATTTTCTGTACAGAGAGGCTCTGGGTCATCTATCTTTAGCTGCTCTAGAAATATGTCCTTTAAAAACGTTTGATTTGTGAAATTCAAAAGCTGATTTTCCAATTTAAAAAACTTGCCCTTTGGTAGTACAAGTACAAAGTTTACCTGAAGTATCTCAGGTGATTGGTCCATCTCATTTTGTGAGGATAGCTGTACTAGCATTGGGAAACCTCAGTGTATGCACAGATGAAGTAAGCATAAAGCTTACCTTCAACAGGGAGGATCCACCCACCCACTGTAGGACTTAAAAAGGCACAAGACTTTGCACCTAGAAAACTTCAAGTGAAAATAAAACCAGAAAACTAGAGACAGATGAGAAAGGTTAAGCATAGCTTATAGTATTCTATAACTGTGGCAACCTTGCTTACTTTTTAACAAAAGTACAAATAAAAATCTCTTGAACTTATTGAATGGGAACTTGTGTAAGTCCAAATGAAAGACAAGGCTGAGCAGAATCCTACAGTTCAGTTAACTTGTGTCAAATGGGATGCGAAGACAGATGCGGCTTTCTGACAGAGGTGATCGAAGATGGCTGATAAAGTTTGCAATAGCTCATAATGTCCCACTGGTTTATTCACTTGTTTGGACTGCCTAAAGGGCCAGCTGCAGCTTAGTCATGTTCCTCTGGTGCATGTTGTGATGACGAACTAATTCATCAGACCTGGCAAATTTTTTTTGACAGCTGGGCCACCGGCAACTGAAAGGCTTTTCACCTGTTAACAAAACACCCTGTTATTAACTGGGTATACAGCTTGCCTCAGACACTGCTATTTGTTTTCTTTCTGCAGGGCTGTAAGGGGTCAGGCAGAGCCCCTGTCAGGAGCAAAGGCATCCCGGGCTGTCCTAAGAGAGTGTGGGAGAGCCCTCAATCCCTGATCCCATCAGCACTCAGGGCTTTCCTACACCTCCCTCGGCTGATCTCTAACAACAGCCTTTTCAGATGATGTAGAACTTTTTGCAGTGTTTCATTCCTGATGACAGGCCCTTACTGAACATCGCATCGCCATGTCTGTGCTACTCTCAGCTCTTGAAGGAGCTAGTTTAAAAGTCACTCTGGCATTTGCACAAGCTTCAGTCACACCTTGGACTGTGGTGCAGACATACTGTTAGTCACTGTGAAAATTGTCAGTGACTATTTAGAACTTGACCTCAAGTCAAGGAGAGTTTTTCCAGCTAGTTCAATGAGTTTTGGCTGAAGTTCTTTGAAACTGGTGAGTGTAAGTGAATATGGTAGAAGCAATAGAGTTCAGCACGAAGTCTGCTGAGCCAGACTGAAACTTTCCCACTACTGTCTAAATAAAGTAGATGCACATCTACAGGAGGTGTTACAGGCTCAAACATTCCCATGAGCATAATCGCTAAAAAAGACAATTCAATTTTAACAAGAACTGCCACCACCTTTTTACAGTTTAATCTGGTCTCTTGATTTTCTACAATGTTTACGTGGAATATCAGGCCATGTTTGTGACGCTGCAGGAATGCTGATGGAATGCTTTCATTAGCTCAGAGCAGTGCCCAGTGATTCATGTTTCTTCTAGAATTGCATTTTCTCTTATTTCCCCAAAAATATTTTAAAGTAGGTTCAGCTCTGGGCTGGGCTCTTCAGTGCTGTCTACACACCTCTACTCTCCAATTCAAGACACCCTGGGGTGGTACGAGCTCACCCAGGCATCTTCTCCTCTTCCTTGCCTCACATTGTGCCTCACAAACATCAAACTCAGACAAAAGGGGATCTGGGGTTGGAGTAAATATGTATTTCTGTTTGCAAAATTTCATGCAATATATTTAAGGGTGTTTAAAATCTACTTTATCCACTTAACACACATGCTGGCAAAAGCATCAGCTATCTCACATGAGTGCATAAAACAGTATGAGAAAAAAATTACCTGGTCAGGGCTACTGATAAAAATCACAGATTGTATAAAGAGGTCTTCTTTCATCTCGGCAGCATTAGCAAAACCATCCTGTGAACTGATGTGAGTTACCTATCACTGAACCACCACAGTAAAAGCAGCAGAGTTTGGCTGTTTCACAAGCAATTCTGGTTGTCCTCTCACAACAGGAGGCAGCTATCTCTATTAGTTCTGTGCTGGGCACAAATTCCTTTGCACAGCTTCTCTGTACAGATATCAGAAATCACATTTCCATTTCTAACAATGTATATAGATGTATGGAGTTGTTTTTTGACTCATTTTTTCTACAGCAAAGATTGCTGTCAGAGTAAAATTGCTTGTGGAGACAAAACCCCCTGAATTTTTAGCCTAAGAAATAGTTTGGCAGTTGACTTAAAATTAGGATGGAATTAGATGGAAGTCACCTATGCTTTCCTTCATTGAGATTTAACATGGAGCCTGTTAACTTGAGCAAGGTGGTCATGTTGCAAGCATGGCAAAATTCAGGGGGTACAAGAAAGAAAGGGGAACAAAGCTACAGGGCAAGATGGAGATGGAAAGTCCCCACCCACCACTTGAGCTCATTCCCTTTGGAATATGTGTATTTTACAGTCAGAGCCTGACACATCCAAAACAGCCAACAGAACATCACAGCAGCACACAGCTGAGCTGCAGAGCTTCCTCAGAACCTAAGCCTGTGGCAGGCAGTGAGACCACCCAAAGGTCTGTGCTGTGAGGGCATCAGTGTGCAAGGGACGCTGCTTTCAGCAATGACAGCAGTGTGGGCTTGCAGCAAGGAACAACTAGAACAGGGATATGAGCCTCCTTATTAAAAAAAGAGCGAGTTCTTCACTGATTTAGCTAACCTGGGGTAAAAAATTACTGGAGTCACAAAAGTGTTGAACTGGCAGATCAGGTAGCAAAGAACTGTGATGGGAAATGTAGCTTATCCTGGCTTGCTAGCATGTGACAACCACTTGCCATTTGTTTCTACCAGAATGTTACCTCTTGCTGATGAAGAAAGGCCCTGCAACTCATCATGAGACCATGGGGTGAGCCCAGGAACACAGCCATGCACTTCACCATTTTCAGGTTGCAAGTATATATTTGGCCGTTACTTGAAGCATCTATTTGGCCAGTGCCGCAGAAAATGCCATGTTCTCAAGTGAATCATTTGTTTTATTAAAATTTCTCTTTTATTTTTGAAAGTATTAAATATGTGTTTTACGGTCCAGAAGAGAAATAAGAATCCTTAGCAGGGAGAAAAAGATTTTCAGGCTCCTTGTCCATCTGTGCAGAGACTGAATTTAAAAGGTTAACACCAGTATAGAAAACCCTGTGACATCTAATAACATGTCAAAGTGCTCGGTAAACAATTACTTAGTAAAAATACTGCAGATATAGTGGAAGGGAATAGAAAATGTCAGTTCACAGGAATAATTCTGAAACTTGAAACTAAAATGCAGAGGTTGCTGCAGTTGCTCCTTAGCGGTGTTTACACTTACATGAGAGCAGAGTAGACTAAAATGGCCTCCTATTTTTTCCCTGCATTTATACAAACTACTGTGTTTTCCACAAAAACGTCCTTGAATATTTGAGTAAGCTTTTACTTTAGTGTCTGCCAGTGTGAGTTTGCAAAAGGCACTCCTTTTATCTTCTGGGGAGATTACAGTACAAGCAGCAAGAGCAAGAGCTTTGCCATGCTATCCTGCATTAGGCTCAGCAGACACTTAAGCATGAGTACGCATGAATACTTTAGATTACAGACCTTCGGCTGAAGCTGGAATTAAAATTTCTGTCTTGTAGGGCTTTTTCAGTAAAGGCAATAGATCAACTTGACATCTGTGGGCTGAGACTATGATTTTCATTTCACAATAGCTGACAGAATAGATTTTGCCAAGCAGAAATGTCTTTAAACATGAAGAAAGCCTAGTTTCCAAAATCATCTAAAGCCCTTTGTGAAAAGTGACTGCAGCACCTGGGGAATGTAGTCATATTGAAAAACCAACACAGTCTGAAATTCTTTCTGTTATTTTGTATATTTAACTCCTGGTTAAGATACTTTCTAATCATATAATTTACAACAACATTGGATTTAAACTTTAAAAATAATGAAATATAAATGTGAAGAAAAGTTTACGCACTTGTTTTACCTGTATGAGTCCTGGTATGAGTCTTCAGATGATCAGATCTGGAGAACTTTCTCTGACAGGTTTTACATTGGAAGGGCTTCACACCTGAAGAGACCAAAGAAAAAAATAAAATCTATCTTATATCCCAACACCTTTTGGAAGAGTGAAAGAAATCAGCTATTTCTGAATTTTGAAAAGCCTGGGGCGTTTGTACTAGCTACTGTAACTGCGCCTCCTAACTTCATGCCTACAAATGATAGAAAGTCATTAATTAGGCTACCATCCCTTTGTAACCTCTTCTTCTGATGTTTGGGTCAGAAGCATCCAAACAGTACCATTATGAACAAACACCCACTGTTGGACTAAGCAGGATCTGCAAATGTTGTGAATTCTGATCCTGTGGCTTGGCACCAGCACTATCATGTATGAGCAACTATGACATAAAAATAGAAGTACGAAGGTATATATTTACATGCTCCAAATAGGCTTACACTTCTACTACTACTTTACACACTACAGAGAAGTCTTGGGGACTGCTTATCACAGATACGTTCTAGCAGGCAGTTGCTAAAAACTATCATAACAAGAGAGTATTTCTATACCAGCTTTAAAAAACACTTCCTACCTGTCCCAGTAATACCATTTAAATGAGATAGAACATCTTGAGCAAGAAAAGTGGTAGGCAGAAATCCACCACACAACAGTGAGTAAACCAGCTGTCAGGCCACTCCCCGAAATATAGGAGACCCAAATGCAATTTCTTGCTGCAACTCAGAGGAGCACTCTGAAGCCCTTTCTCATGTTCCATAGACTGTTCCCTCATGGTTCCACTCTTGGCTAGGAGGCTGAACTCATCACCATCTCATATTCTGTGACTTAGAGAAAGGCTGCTGCCTTCCTTGTCAATCTAATCTAGACTTCCAAGAGCTCCTGAAATGCTGAAATAGGCTGTCCTGACATCTCCAGAAAATGGTGTCTGTGCAAAAAAACAACGTACTGAATTTGGACTGAACTCACAAGCAATTTCAGCTGTCTCAGAACATTTCACCCTGTCAATGATCCACTGAGAAAGACAGGTCCTGGACACAAGCCTAGATAGGACCCAGACCCTCATGACTGCTCCGCCCTCTCTGCCGTACATAAACTGCTATACACTTTCCAGGCTATTTTTGCAATCCAACCAGCCAGATCTTTGACATTTCTCTCCTTGCTGCCCCTGGAATCCTTCTTTAGTTGGCAGAGTTCAGAAAAGGTTCAAATCTATGATGAAGTGGTTTGCTGAATTAAGATCTTAAGCATTATAGACAGTACGGCTTTTCTTTTTCCACTTCTGTCCATGCAGACACGCACAGTAATTCTGCCAGCCTTTCAGATGAGGCACATGCAGCATTCACCTGTTAGCGTTGCCACACAAGCATCAGAATAACAACAGTAGTGTTTATCAGGCAAGTTCTTATAGAACTGTTTGTTTTTTTTAAATAACTGATTCCCTACATTGGGGGTACAGTATAAAGCAAACAGTTAAATTAAGAAAGCTGTTTCAGCAGCAGGATGAAAGTGTTGCAATGCTGTTTGGCACTATGGGCATTGTTTATGAGCAGACACATCATAAAAAGAGAGGTTCAGAAGTAGACTTTTTAGATCACAATTCACATCTAAAGATGAACTCCAGTGAGTAGAGATGTGGTGTCAACAAACCTGTGTGTCGTCTTTGGTGGCGTTTGAGTTGGTCTGAACGAGAAAATCTTCGTTCACAGTCCTTAAAATCACACTGATAAGGCTTTTCACCTGTAAAAGACAAACAGTTTATCAGAACATGTGGCTAGATGAGGGAACACATCAGCTAGAATGAGATGTAGACTTCTCTCTTGCCTAAAGCAGCTTAGTGGTACCACAGGACTCATGTACTATAAACCCATACAGCTGTGTTGGGATCAGTGGGGAAAGGCTGGCATCATTCTACTGCATCTGCACTGATAATGAATCTGCTCATCCTAAAAAACGACCAAACCATTAGGTGAAAGCTACAAAAAATTTCCAGCTGCATGGTTTTTGGTGCTGTTTTCTACATGAAAAGAACAGAAATCTCTTGGTTTATATTTCTCTGAAAACCATATTAAGGCCTTTCCACCTGTTTCAGTAATACATATTCTGTACAAAGGAACAACTTTATTTTAAAGCAAAACCTAAATAAATGGCATCCATGTAGGTGGCAATTTTAACCACTCTAAATTAAAACTAATTAAAAGAAACAGCGCAAAATTCAACTACAGAAAAAGACATGTTCTTCCCCAAAATACAAATGATGTTTCTCTTATAAAGCACCATTAAATAGCATTTCTCATGTAGCTGCACACCTCCTGCAGGCAAGCCCGTGAATTATTGCAAAGCCCCCTGTAAACATAAACTCCTCCACCTCCCATGCAGCTCAGCAGAGACCATTGAGATGGCTTTTCTTTGGGACAATAAGTGAGATTCTGGCTTTTCAAACAAATGAACCCCCTACAAGATAGTGTCTCAAATGAATGTGGCTTTCAACCAAGGAAAAGGACCAACAATATACACATGCAATATACACATGCAAAAACAAATGCAGTGATCAAGGAGCTTGAAGAAAGAGAGAAACACTGCCTGCATGTAGTGTACCACACAGTTGGTGAAATTCAGCCAGCACACAAAACAATAGTCCTCATGCTGCTACAGAAGTAGCTGTATGATCTTTCAGATCTGATTCACACACTGGAATCCTGCAAAAGCCTCAGATATAATCACCTTTGTCCCTACATAAGGTCTGGGGACAGAGCCACAGCCCTGCACAGAGGCCTCAGGACAAGAAGTAATGAAACATCTCTTGCTTCAAAGCTGGGAGAATCCTGGGTTTTATCTGGAAGCTACACACAAGACCAGCTGGGACCTGCTTTTGTCTACTGTGGAAAGCTGAGATCTAAAACAAAGGTCCAGGAGGAAGGACCTAAGGAAAAACACCAGCTGAGGTGCTTAGTGGGGTTAATTTCTCCAGGTATGTTTTTAAAAACCTATCAGTTTCATAAATCTCCACAGAAGTGTCTGCATTTCTGATTTTATTATGATGACATGTGTTCTGGTTGCACTGGTATTCTGAGATACCGGCGCAAACTAGTTTAGTTTAAAGCAGAAGCCTTCTGACCTAGGCAACAGAGCATAAGTAGCATGTTAAGGACAACATTTCAAATACTGTGTAGCTAAAATCAAAATCTTACAAAAGCAAATTAATCTGCAAGAACAAGCTGACTTCCTGTGCCAGTCACCCAAAGGAGTTTACTGATTCTCAGACCTAGGTGTGGACAATTTCCATGTCTGCTGTGCTTAATTTATTAGAGTAAGGGATTAAAGTTGCCACAGGTGTTTGAAATAGCTCCGTACACTTTGACCGTGTGGACTTCCCAGGGGGTGCCTGCTTTTCAGAAATCACTTACTTCCAAGGAATTCAGCCCTTTGGCAGATTTAAGAGGAGGAATGTCAGCAGAGCAGAATGCAGTGACAGGATGATTGTCTGCTAATTGCAATATAAACTCAGAAGATGGTTAAGGAGGTATTTGGATAAAACAGTATCACGGGTCTAATGGCATGCACACAAAAGCATTTATTTAAATACTTTGAAATACAACCTTGATTAAATTAAGGACAAATTTGCCCAATGCATATATTAAAGGAATCGGTCCAAGATGCTTACACAAATATACGGTGACACTGCATAGAAAACAAAAAGCAAAGAAACAAAAAAGGCACAATATTTGGACAGAAATCCTAATTTTCTTTTCCTTCTACTCCTTCCACATCAGCTAGTGCCAAGCAAAATGCCTGCCAAAGCCAACTGTCACATACCTGTTACCGCCCAGAACTTGCATCAGAACAGCACAACATGAATGACCCAGATTGAAAGTCTGTGAGTACCTCATTAAATCACTATACCAAGAGGGAGTGGAGCACTGTCTAGTTCCCCAGCCCTATTAAATCCTCTCCAGTAAAAGACTAAAGTCTCTTAATGTATGGAAACTATTCCATAATGCTGTCACCTTCCTACAGGACCACATACAATTTCAAAACAAAACAGGACGTGAAGATGGAGCTTCCCCAGTCCTTCCACCTGCAACTCGCAGGCTTCCAGGATTACTTATATTTCATTATTGAGAGAGGGCACACAAAAGGCTAAACTCAGTGCATAATGAAGCAGTTGGGAGAGGACAAAGGGAATAGCAGTTCTTTAATATTTAGGGAAATATTTGGAAAAACTAAAGGTCAACAATGGCAAACAAGTATGAATCAGCCTTTGCAGGTATCATAATAAATGCTTCAAATAAAATAAACCTATTTGTTCAAAAATGGTTAAATCAGAGGAACCTGCACATTTTCTCTGGAGCAAACTCATTTGCCCAGACACATGGGAAAAGAGAAATTCCTACTGCTGTAGCAGCTGCACAAAATATTCACAATCATTGCATTTAATTACAGAGTGCTACAAGAGCAAAAGCCCGCTGCTAACAAGAAAGCATGAGGAGACCGGGCTGATTTTGAAACCAGAGGCTGCAAGCCTGAATGAGAATCTATACACCCTGCACCAATTTAAGCCCCTTTTCTTGTATACACACCTAAGCACATGAGTACAACCCTGTAATCACAACTTTACCTCAATAATATAATATATTTCTATTCAAAATAATTTGTTTCAGCAAACACAGATAAAATGTGTGTCTCTATTTAGTAGGGAGCCTTTATAGGTAACGTTTTCTGTCATTGTCACACCATAGGGCAGATGTGAGATGTCATTATTGTTTTGAAACTAATCTTGTTTACCATATCTGTACACAGAGGACATAGCTCTGTCTTTCAAAGGGGGTGTAATGATGAACTGCACTAATGACTGTAAAGCACTTAGCAGCACAGTGGCACGTGCCATAGTAAAATTATTTTTTTCAAAGCAAAGAAATCATTGTTAGATGATTAGGATAAAAGTCATGATTAGACTGCGTTACTTACACCCCCCAGAGCCCCAGAAAATCACCACCAAGACCTGAGTCCCTGACACACAAAAGACAACCTTCATCAGTTACAGATTCTCACACCTCACTGTTAGAAGTTCACACCCACAGTTGTGCATATTTAGGCTGAGGAATATCCATGGCAAGCAGGCAGAGGGTATTTTCTCTGCAAAAATGCTGTTTTCCATCAAGATAAATCCAGTTTTTCCAGTGTGTGGCACTGAACCCAAAGGATCTCTGGCAAGAATATTGTTTCCACTGTAAATGAAATTTATGGAGGTCTAGACATCAATTTGTTTCTGCAAAGAAGTTTCTGAAGTCTGCCACAGGCTGACAACTCAAATTATTTGCTGTACTGTTGAAAAATTAGATGTATTTTTGCATTTCCTTTCAGAGGCCTATCTACTGCAGCGAAATACACCAAGATAAGAAAAAAAGCTTTTTTGGCTGAACATGTTTCAATAAAGGCATTGTTAACAATGGATAAGCAGTCATGGAGGGTACAAAATGTCAACATATTTTCAACGAATGCAATGTTGAAACATTGGTAAAACTGATTACAGAATCCAACTTTGTGTTTCAGGGCCTTGCTTGATTTTGCAATACTGCAACTAGTGAAGAATAGACAATCGAGCTGGCCCTCTGCAAGTATCTGTTACAGTAAGGAAAAAAATCAAGAGCCAACATTGCCCTGCAAAGATACTATCTGCTGTATTGGATGTATGTAACAGCTTGTTTTCAGATCCTGTGGTCATAATTTTAAAAACTGCCCTACCACTACGCTAAGAAAGGTGCAAGAGCTTCAAGCCCACGAGTGCATCCTTAACCACAGTACGGGAGGGCTGTAGAGAGGTATACCAAACACAAACAAATTGTCCTCCATTTGAGCTGACATCTGACAGCTCTCCTGACTTCAGACTGGCTTGTCAGGATTCCTCCCCATCAAAACACTGAAGCATAAGAAGAAGAAACATCCTTTTTTTTATTAAGAGTATCAGGTGTTCTGACTGCCAACTACTACCCTAACTGTTATCAACAAGACAAGCACTCCTTAAAATTAGGACTAACAGACCACAGGAGGAGACAAGAAATAGAAATAATCATATTCTAAAATCTCTACAGGAGTTGGAAATTGATAAGTAAAATTTCCAGACCATAATCATATGAAATGTCTAGCAACCATTCAACAGCCTGAGGACAAAACCCTGCTAGGATGATGAAGAGGAAATCTTCTTTCTATTCCTAAATCTGAATGCATCAGCTAGGTGAGTTTCCAAGCAGCTCTCATACCAGCAGTGCACTATCACATGCTTTACTCTCTTTAGCTGCAACCAACTTCAAAAGCTTACATGGCCTTATTAATAGCAATGCTTGTATCAGCAAATACAAGGCTTGGAAATCAAGATGCCCTATTTGGTATGGAAAGTAGCTTGCAAAGGTTGTCAACACACCAAAATACAGTGGCAGAAAAATCTGGGCCCACCTGTACAGAAGAGATGTTTGAAGGAAAGAAAAGTTCTTCCCCTACCTTGTTCCACTTTAGCATAAGCCAAAGGAGGGGCATGTATGACCTCAAAGACAATGGGAGGAATCTCTCCAGGGGTGTCAGATGGCTGTAGTCCTAATCCCCTACTCCCTGTGTGTTTTGGGCCTTTCGTGACTCTGCGTGCCTAGATCATAATGTGGTGTAATTCTGCAAATCTTCAGTTAAGAAAAAAAAAATATCTAAGCTGAAGTCCTTGTGATACATCCAGGAATAACACTGCAAAAGCCAAGCAACTAAAGGGAATAAAATACAGGACCAGGACAAATAAATTATGACTGTTAAAATACAATTTAGGAATGAAAGAAATTGTGATTATGAGAAAAAAAAACAAAACTGTTTAGCCATACTCAAGAAAAATACTGCAGTTAATGGACCCCAAAAGATGAACACATTTTCTTGTTTCCAGTTTATTTACAGATAACAGAATAGCATTTCTGTAGATCTTCATCTCCAAAGATTAGACTCCAGTTACAATTTAAATTATCTTGAATTGCTCTTATCTGAGCAATGCTGAAGATGTCTATCTGAATATTTTGTGACTGGCCCATTCAGAGATTGAAAATCCTTTGTAATGCTCATTTCTCACCTGTAGAATTTTACACAATTAACTAATGTCACTACATGGTCTCCAAAAAGAAAAGTTATTATGAAACATCAGACAAGCTGCCAGGTCACACAGAATTAGTTGCTCTGCCCTCATCCATTTCACCCTTCTGACTTCCTATCAGGTTAATTGCAAGTGAACATCCATATTTACAGATTTTATCCACAGATTTCTAGCACAGAAAGAACTGTCTAAATGAAAATATGATAGGCAGTCCAAAAAATGTACAAGGAGCATATATAAAGTTTTATCATAATTCTACATTTCCAACAGAATCAATCTCCCAATAGGGAAAATAACTTTGTTTACTCTTCGGCAAGGTACATCAGAGCATTTGATTTTCACATTTTGAGGTGGAACATATATTGCCTGAGCTCAAAGAGAATTCAGATCTTAGCCTACAAATGACTGGCTTCAGGCTCTATTCTTCATGGAAAAATGCCGTTTGAGGAAACTCATTTGCCAATCCCTGCCTCTTACCCCCAGCCAGAAAAGACTTCCTCAGGAGGACAAGAGGCTGCTAATGTCTAGGTTCCTCTTGCAGAGGAAACTTCTGAATAGTTAACAACAGTTAAGATATGGAGCAAGCCTTGATGCTGCCAAATGGAGGGAACAGAGACAGGGACAATTCACAGCTCTGAATGGTGCCCTGTAACAGTAAGAGAGGGAGGGAGGTGATCTTCCTGCTGTCAGCACTGCTCTGCATTTTTACTCACTCGTTTCAGTCTTCTGCATCAAAAAGAGGGATTGCCCAGCTGACAGACTCTGTCTGCCCCTGACCTGGCAGATCATTTCTTGCACCTTATGCTATTTTAAAACCACCCTACCCACTCTGCTGTCCAGTGCTGTGACGTGATTTATACCATCCAATGCTGACACTCACCAGTGTGCTTTCTGCTGTGCATCTGTAAATGGGACAACTTAAAGTATCTCTTGTTGCAGCCAGGGTACGCACACATGAAGGGACGTTTTTCATTTGTCTCACTTGCTGATCGGACAATAGTCGGAGCTACTCCTGGCACCCGTCGGACATCCTACAATGACAGAGACTTGCTAATGTAACGTGCATGTTCTCAAGCTTTTACTAACATATTCAAAGACAAACAATCAGAGGCACTTCTCCAGGACAGAGATATTTAAATACACTGCAAACTGTAAAACTCTACTTTAACAAAGTACAACCTTACTATACCTTTAATCTGTTAAACTCTGTTTATTAAATTCTCACCAAATATTGGTGTGCAAGTTTAAGTAGGCCACGTTCTGACTTCACATATAACCACACAATTAATTCTGCAAGAACACTCGTAGGCATATAAAGCAGTTTCAGGCTTACAGTAGTGTAAGAGGTATGAGCATGAGCCAGGGTAGCATTATCCTCTTTATTTTAAATACTCACATGAAGTTTAAGGACAAGGAAATTAATGTATTATCTTAATTCAAACTGGTAAAAACAAAACAAGAAAGCCCATCTAGGTGGAGCTGGTGAGTAGCTCAGCCTTAATGCATTTTGACCACTGTCACAATGTTCCATCAAAGATGATCTCCTCCTTCTGGAACAATTAACTTCCTTAAAGAATGTCAACACCTTACTTTTACTCACTCCACAAAGCTGCCTCACGAGCCTATTTCTGAGAGCTTGCCACTGAATAATGACTTATTAAACTGTACAGAAAAGGAAAAGAAGATGCTATCTACAAACACTGGTGTATGTTGACAACAGAGAGCAATGCAGAAGAGACAGATACTTCTTAATGACTTTGCCATCAGTTTTAAGAACATATAGCTTCTACAGTGGTATTTATTGATTATGATTATATGACTTTCAGAAAAGGAGGAAATTAACTTCCTTGAATGGTAAGTTCTTCCCAAATATTCACTGATTACTTAGTCATTAGGAAACAACCACTTAGTATATTTTGTTTTAAGGAAATATATTTGCATTAGTAAAGCCTCAGAAATCCGTAAAAGATAAATGTTGCCTAACACTTTTTTCTATATAGTTATCAGACGTAGTCCATTGTAACCATGGAAGCTTCACACAACCACAGTGACTAGAGCTAGGAGGTAGAAATTGGGTCACATGTTTTGGAACATCCTGAGAGTCTGGTAAGGAATATTGCCCTACAGGCATACTTTAGAAGAAGAAATAAACAATTTTAAATGACTCTCAGAAAGAAATCTTACACTGTACTTCAATGGCTTCAGTGGAGTCAGGACACTATGTAAAGCATTTCTCGATAACACAGGGAAACCGCAAGCCAAGGATGGATTTATAAATACAAGTGAAATAGTACACAAACATTATAAACAAGCAGCAGTTTTACTTCCCGAGGAAGAATATCCTACTATACTCACTTGTATGCCTCTAAAAACTCCATGGGTATGTATTCTGTATTGGGCCCCACAGCTGTACAACATGGGAGCACTGTGGTTCTCATTTTCATATCCTGCCGTATGGCTGTAAATAAAGAGGGGAATAATGGGAAAATGAGATATTTTTCAGTACTCAGCTCCATGTGAGAGGTTTCATTTCTTAAGTCAGTAATAACACATGCAGAGTTTGCTTTCATAGCCTGGATATCCAAGTTCAAATGCAATTCACCAAAGGAAGCCTGTTCTACCTTCAGATAGCTCTGCTTCCACTGGCTCTATGCACTGACTCCATCCCTACACCTATTAGTATCCACTATGACAGCACAGTAAAAGAAAAAATTTAAAAATTGTCATGATTTGAACTCCGATGTATTTCCACGAAGATTTTAGGTAAGAGGGAAAAATCCACACAGCAGCATGACTGTGTAATGTGCACATGTACACATTATTTTTCAGTTAAATGTGGGGCTGCCTATTGCTAATATCTTTTGGAATGAGCAAAATGCCTCAAGTTTCACATTAAGTGCAGTGGATTTTTGTCAGCACCTCATGACTGAGATATTACCACATACTACCAAGAAAGTGATGACATTTATAAGAATAGCGGTCATGTACTCATAAACAGAGATTACAAATCAGTGTCCAAACTATTTATCCCACATATCAACTTGCAGGATACGTTACAAATTACCCCCTTATAAAAATACAATTAAAAAAACAAACCAGCCTCTGCCTACCAGGTATTTATATATCCTTCTAGGGGTAAATTTTCAAGATTGCTCATGCAGCATAATCACAATAGTTTAAAATGTCTGTAGCCCTTGTTGTGTTCTGGGGCTGTCACAACCATGTGTTCTATCTAGTTACATTCTTCAAAAACCTGTCTTCTCCTGCCCAGAATGTTAGCATCATTGCTGTGCTTCCTGTGTGCAACCTTCTTAATGTCAAAATTACGCAAATAAATTTGAGAGTTTAATTTTAAATGTGCATGTTACATTAGTGCGGACATTGACACGCGCATTAATATACATTGGCAGCGGTACGTGTTCATGTTTTATACTGCACTAGAAATCAGAAAGGCCAGAACAAAGCCCAGGGGCACACAGCTAGGGACAGAGATGGATACATAGGATGTTATCCCAGTCTTTGCCAAATGCTTGCAATAGCAATTTAGAAGGGTCCCTGAGGCCCAGGCTCTCATTTCACTGGTCCTTCCTTTCTCTTCACTCAAAGGTCATGTGCAGAGTAGAATTACAAGGAAGTCTTAAACCTCTTACATGATTTGCAGAGCAGTCAGAGGAACTGGAATGCAGGAGATGTCTAAATGGTTTGTGAACCTGACTAAGCAGGAGGGAGCAGAGCTTGTGAACAGCTCCCACTGCAGCCTGTAGGTTGCGTTCCTCAGTAGTTGTCCCCATAGTGGCTTGCAGGCTGCCATGTGGCAAATGACTTCCTTTACATCAATCCCTGTGCTGCTTAAAATACCAGTTTCAAACCCTGGCTTCAGCTGGCTATTCAAATCAAAGGCTACACCTTTTAGGAAGGTACTCTCTGATTATTTCAGTTTTAAGTAGCAAACAGGTGATCATACTGAATTAAGTTATAGGGCAGAAGCAGGAAATTCTCTCTCATGTAATAACAGATAAAGGAAGATGCCATTATCAGATTAAACTCCAGATATGTACCATGAATTTCATCATTAGTCACCCTAACAGCGTAACCTCTCATTCATGCCTGTACCAGCCACCCTACACATTACAACAAACAAGAGACACATAGCTAGATAAGAGGATTTCCCAGAGCAGAAACTTTGGAAGGAAGGTGTAGTAAAAACTGATGCCATAAAACACAGCCTAACTCTCCCTCCAGATTCACATGGTTTTTATCTTTCAGTGATAACTATTTCTGCAAAGACCAGTCAGTTCTGAAATAATCCGTCCCAGGAATAAGAAGCAGACAAAGACCCTGTCTGTGCCCTAAGGAATGGCTCTATGAATGGGAAGTATCCTCCAGATAAACTTCACCTCCCATTTTATTACACAGTTGGGAAGCCCTCCTCAGCATTCAGCCTTTTTCACATTTCCTCCCATTATTTCTAGTCATACTTCACTAAAACTGTACACACAACTGCAAAGCCTTGAAGAGTAAAACCTGTTTTCTGAGCCTTTTGACCCATCACATGCTAAGTGCTTAACGAGTCCCCTAGGAAAAACGCATCAATAATCAGTTCCCATGTTATGCTGAGCACATTTCCATCAACATTGGCTGGTACTCAGCATGCTCATACGGATGATGACAGCAAAATGGATCACATGAGATTTCTTGGATAAAATGCTATTTGTTCACTATGAAGCACTATGGAATAATCTGGCCTTCACCTGTAACAGAAATTACAGGTGAATCCTCTTTCCAGTCGGTGGAGAAACAGGAGTGCTGGAGTTTTCACCACTGCTCCCTTGAACTTCAACCTTCACTCTCCACCTGATAGTCACCTCACTGAAATACAATCTTTTTCTTCCAGCTTCTTTGCCCAATGCAGCCAGATGTCTGCCACAAACGCTGTTGCTCAGTTGGCTTATTGCATGTTGCTGCTAAAATTTATGCGCTAAAATAAAAGCATTGATAGAAAAATTGATTTATAAATCTCTTAACTACATTACTGAAATTCTGCATACAAGAGGTAATGATCAGATGCAATACCACATACATGAGCAATAGCAGTCACTGATGAATTTAACAGTACATTAACTAAATGAAAATCTTAAGCAGGTAGGAGATGCCTTAACTTTCATCTTTTCTATTCAAGGTATTCAATGTTTAACTAGGCAAAGAGATGATGCCTTATACACTTAGGCCACCAAATCTGTAATTATAATAATGAAAAATTACCCTGATAGGCTCTCAGGACTAGGTAACAGACTAGACCTCCACCAAAGCAGTGCAATGTGCCCACCCGACATCCACAAATAATACATGCATTATAAATGAAAAAGAACCATAGAATCACAGAATGTTTTGAGTTTGAAGGGACCCTAAAGATCATCTAGTCCAACCTCCAAGACAGCCAAGAAGATTACACTGTGCTGTTCGCATGAACACTGATAATCCAGGGTAGGTAAACACTGATACTTGGGGAGAGACAGGCTTCTGGGACCGGAACACATGAGCTCTCTCCCAGCAGGATGGGCTGCTCAGGCAACATCAGAGCAGTCTGGAGAACTGCCAGCAGAGCCCCTCACTGCCCTGCTGTGAGTGCACTCAGAGCATGGCTGAGAGCATGGCCAAAGCTCCTACACTGCACCTTCCCCTGCTTCAAGGGCTGAGCAGGCCCCAGGAGGAACTCAGCTAAAGCCAGGGGGAAAACACGGCTGAATTAAACAAAGGAGAAAAACAAAAAATCCCCAGTAAGGCCCAGAGTTATAGTTCGGAGAGACATTAAACCGATCCCGCCACAAGTCCTAAAAGGAGTAAAAACTAATCAAGGCCAGATGCAGCCAAACTGGCCTACCAGGATCTGACAGAAATCTTTGCTGGAACAAAGACTAAAGGACATAGCCTCACAGTCTAGTTCCACCTTTACTTGTAAGTACACAGCTCCCTTCGGCTTCAATGGGAAATGCACAAAGGCAGAACTGGACTATAAATACACAGAACTGGAGTTAGCTGGTGAAAAAAGGGCTCACTATATTTTGTTCTCTTGTTCTAGGCAGCCAGAAGCAGACCTGGAAACCTGGCCACAAACCCTGTCTCTAGATAACTGGGAAACAAAGACTGATACTTCTGCAACAGCACCCGCTAAGCAGGAGCAATGTGCTGCAGAGGGTTTAAAAGTGCTCACATTTACCATTAGCCCAGCAAATCCTTAACACTCGGAGAGCAGCTCTTTTAAAATGATTAATCTCAGAGTTGTACAGATCGTACAAAGATTAATAAAAATGAAGGTTTTACAGATGAGAATGTGTGATGGAAAACAGAACAGCTTTAGAGAGCTGTATCAATCTAAGTGGTTATAAAAAAACTCATAAAAGATGACATTCTAATCTGAATATTTTAAAAAACAATCAAGCTGCAATTTCTCTCTCACACCATTTTTACTTTGCTAAACTGAAACTGCCTGTCTAACATATAAAGCAGTTACAACTCAATCTGAAGAGTTAAGCTTTTTATTATTATTTCATAAACCAAAAAAGGGAAGCTTTAAGGTACACTGAGGAGAGTTAGAAAATTTCAAATGAAATGTGAATGCACATTGATTCATGAGATTCAGACTTGGAAGAGAAAAAAAAAAAAGCCAGAAAGCAAGATTACATAAACCAGGCACCACATTAAGCCTCAATTTAATTGTGTTTCAATGCAGGAACAGGAATTTTAGGGTTTAGAAACAGAGCCAAAAATGAGGCAAAGTGAGGGTGTGGGCTAGTCCGTTGATAACAGAACATAAAGGAAGAGAAGTAGAGTTAATTCCCTCTGCTAAAATATTTACCATCCTAGCACCCTGGGAAAAATATGTACGGAGACAGCAAAAAGATTCTGATTAGTTATAGAGAAGATCATGTTTCTGCCTGTTTTTTGTCTAATACTATTATGGAGGGTGGAGTAGAAAGCTGCATTTTTATCTGCACTTTCCAAGGCAAAGGAATATTAAAACATGTGATTTCACAGATTACAGCCCCTCTGCCATCTCCAATGAGAAAACCAGCTGGCTGAGGAAAGGAAAGCACTGCATCTTCAGGGGACCCTTGTCTCTCTGACTTCAATAGTCTTTGTTCGATTTGGTTTTTTTTTACCATTGACCTGAGTGGAATAAGGATTTCACCCAACACTTCCCTTCAAATGAGACCCTCAGCTATCAGTGGGAAAGGGGAAATTCAGTATTAGAGACAATAGGTTATTGTCCACTTCCAATTCATCTTGACTGCAGAACTGAACCCAAGTAGGAAGTTTTGAACCTCCAAATTTTACTAACAATACCAGCAAAGCTAAACAGAAAAAACTTTACAATTCACTCCTAGACAAAATAAGCATTCACTGTCTTGTTTTAGATACAGCCTTAATAGTGTTCGATACAAATCATGCCTAATCTTCTTTCCAAACAGCAACAAATATAAAGTTTCAAGGAATGTGACAACTATTTAACATCCAAGCAAACACAAAAGGGGGGGGGGGAACAAACAAAATTTGTCTGGCTAGATACTCAATCTCAAATGACTGTTTGACTGTGGGAAGTACGGATCAAACCTTTTTACTTGAGCAGCTAAAGAGACCACTAGGCAATATTTCTGCTAAGTCTTGCTGTTGGGTATGTGGCTGTGCTCCTTGTCTACCATGCCATATCATTTCCTTCTTGATCTAAGTTTTTTTCCATGTCACTTTTATAAAGAGCTCTTGACATATCAAGGAGGGTTTTATAGTCCCGAGGTCTACCTCGACAACACCACTATGAAGGGAAGCAGTGTTTTCCACACTGAACAAATAAGAAAGCAACACCAAAATATTAAGGACAGAAAGGCGTCCACCAGTGTGGGACATCCGTTTTGAGATGTCTGGGACCTGAGTTCTCAGGGTAATAAGCAAAGGATCCAGCGACTTTCCTGCCATAGTATAAATCTGATCTCAGCTGCTCCAAACAAAATACCACAGAATGAGGAAAAAACTTCAAACAGTCTGAGGAAATAAAATTCAGTCCTATGGTGATGTTCACTGCCATAACCACACCACTTTCTTTTCAGATCCTTAAAGCTGCCAGGTTGTGTGACAGCTCTGGCAGACAAGCCAGCTCTCCCTCATCTACCCCAAGTTCAGAAGATGGCAGAGAAGTCCCTGGACAAACAGGCACATAACCAACACCATAGCTCACACAGAACTCTTCTTTCCTCACGTGACTTACAAGTGTAACTTGAGCTCAGTCTTTGGCATTCAGAACCTAAGTGACAGTCTATAACACAGATTCAAGTCACTTGGACTACAGGATGGCAGTGGTGGGTTTTCTTCTCCAGGGACAACTCCTCACAGAGAGGAGCTCAGTTTGAGCCACCAGACCTCATGCTGGTTTGCCATCACATAGAAACCTCTAGAATTCATGGATGCAGCCTTTTCTATCTTCTTCCACATTTACACCTCTCTCTCCCTCCCCTGCCAGTCTATCACGTGGATGTACTCTGCCAGGAGACACCTCTAATCACCTTACATGTCTCTCTCCATCACTTAGCAGCGGCTGGACAGGCACTCTACTCCATACCTTTTACTGCCCACTTCTGTCATTCCAGCCATGCCTTCTGCGCTTTCTTATGCTTACACCTGCTGAAAGCACTCGAAGACTAAAACCAAGATGAAGAAACATTAAAACATCCCTAGATGTTTAAACATGAAAATATCCCTAGAGGGAAAAACAATCAGGATGAACAGTCTTCTAAAGCCTTAAAGCCATGGGCTAAAGAAGGCTCTGAGCAGATAAATTAATTCGATAGGTTAGGTGCCAGACTCTTGCTTCTGAACACACACAAACAGACTGTTCATAAGCTTGCAGCTCAGTGGGAATGACCTTCACAATACCTGAGAAGGACACAACTTTGGCCACCTGACAGTATTCCTTGCCAAATTCCAAACTTAGAATCTGGAGTGAGGAGATGAGGCAAACATTGGCAAGAATGTAAACAGCTAAAACCCAGAATGCTCCCAGATAAATTGCTAGATAACTCAAGTACAGAAGCCGCTAGCTAACTCTACCTGAAATGGATGGCAACAGATTCATTCCCGTATATTAAATTTATGCTGAAGAGGAACGCAGAAAGCAAGCTGCTGAGCTGGTCTGCTAACAAGTGTAAAGTGTATGACCCAGAAGTTTCATGTAATTGTAGAGTTCTCTAGCGATTTGCAGAACCTCCTGGTAATGTTTTCAACCTTCTTATGATGCACAAAAGTCTTAACAAGGCCAGGAAGAAGTGCTGGGGAGAACCCAAAGCAAGGAACTAAACAAGGACCATCATCGTTGGACACAATCTAGAAGCTCCGTATTTCAACAGAAAGATAGATTCCAAAATTCTTAAATTACAACTACAAGATTGAGGAAAGCATCTGAAATACTAAACGCCTGGGAATCACTTATGAACAGTTCATATATTTTAAAGATGTAAATCTTGGGAAGAATACCTTATGTTCATGGCAACTGAGATTGGAGGTACTGCGTGTTGTAACTCTCAGCCAGAAAAGACAGATAACTATTTTGGCTCATATTACTAGTGATGAGGCTATGTCTAGCACTGATTTTCCACAGATTCTACAATCTTGGCCTATACCAAAACTTTCAGCTTTGCTTTACCATAGATCATTCATCTTGATTTCTTCCCCCTCCCTTTTTATGCATCCTAGGTCACATACTTTACACTGCTAACAGTCTGACATCTGGACAAGTAAGAAGCCATTTATTTTGTTCAGTACTCCTTTAATATTTCTATTGTGTCTTTTTTTTTTTTTTCACTGAGTTCCCCAAAGAATAATGTCTTCCTTGCCTTAATAACTTGGACCTCAGTCAAGGTTGATATGTTTCTCCATTCTGCAGGACATTTTCTTCAGAAGAGACAAAACAGTGTCTAATATTGTAATGACTGATCTTTAAAGGGTACAGCTTAAAAAGGAAATCAAAAAAACTTTTGGAAAAAATAAAGTAGGAAATAAACTTTAAAAAGAGAGGATTGGCAACAAAGACACTGAACTGTACACAGCTGAAGGACTTGGGGATCTTCTCTGACCAGAGGGCTCCTTGAGAGAGCTCTGCAGGCTTAATTCTCCCATTCATTTAAATACAGACAGTTTAATATGCCACTATCTTCTCCCTCTAACCTTCAAGGAGCATTTGTGAATGAACTACAAGCAGACCCATAATATTTTTTCCTTTATCACACTACAGCATGGTACACCAACTCCATCTTGAAGCAGCATTCCATGTTTAAGGATAACTACATGAAAGCATAGGTCTGTACAGGCTTTTCTAGACCTCTCCTGTTGTACACTTGAGGCTGCACCACTTAGACACTGAGATCTCACAGCAAGTTGGTGATACCTGCCTTTGGTAGAGGGGCTCAAGGCCAATTACCTACTCGGAGCAGAGCAGGCAATCTTTGGCTTTACCTTGGCTAAGGACAAAAGGTGGCTTTTGCTCATGGTAGATGAAACAAGGTGAAGATTCGGTAGCGCACCAGACCAGCTCGGTCCTCTCTCGCGCTCCCCTAGCGCCAGGGTTACTGGAGGCACCGGGCACCGGCTGCCGAGCGAAGCGGCCCCAGCCCCGGCCCGAGAGCTCTTTGCCGCCCTGCTGACCCCTTCCCTGTCCTCCCCAGCACCACGCCGTGGCCTCAGCGCCGCGCCCGGGGCAGCGGTAGGCTGGGGCAGCCCGCAGCACGGTTCCCCCCGGCCCCGCTGCCGCCACCCCGGCGGGGCCCCGCGGCGCCTCGGGGCCTTTCCTGCCCGCCCAGAGGCAGGAAGCCCCGCGGGGGAGGCGGGCCGGAGCCTCTTCCCGGCAGGTGGGAGGGCGACAATGGCCTGGAGGAAGGAAGCCGGGAGGCGGCAGGGCCGGGACACAGGACGCAGGGCCTGGCGAAGGGAGGGAAAGGGAAGAGGGATGGTAGGAACAGGCGACAACTCGACGAGGAGAGCACGGAGGGGCCTCTGCTGTCCCATCGGGGACCGGCCCTGCCCCAGTGGAGCCCCGTGGCAGAGCAAAACAGCTCGCTCGTACCTATGGCTTCACTTCGTAACCCTGGACCAGGCAGCACCCCAACGCCCCACTTCCCGTTTCTGAAAACCGCAGTCACTCGGGCCAGGGGGTGCGCCTCTGCCGGGACTGTCCGTAGCTCTTCATGCTAGTGATCGGATCCAGGTTGTGAAATAAAAGATGGAGTTAGCTCAGCAACACAGCTATGCGAGGGCAAGAGATTAAAAAGGAATAGAACACCTTACCCCTTCAGCGTGGATCCCAAGTTCATTTGATTCCATGTCATGCACTCAAGCTGCGAGGTCATTTGGTACAAATTGTCACTGTTGCGAAAGTACAGAAAATTAGAACTAACGTCACATCGGTCAAATAAAAACCAATTTGCCAAGACAGCAACATTTTGTTATTGGTTTTCAGTATATAATAGCAGAAAGTTAATATATTTTATATAATTCATTTTATCGATGTATTGTGAATTTAAAAATAAAATAAAAGGAAACAGAGAAGAAAAGAATGGCTGCGGCTAGAGAAGCCTCTTTGGATCAGCAATCCTGTTGATTTGGAAATAGATGGGAGTGGGGACATACAAATTTTCCTTGCAGAAAAGCCGTACCGGTTATTGACATATTGAAATGGATGAAACGACTACGGGCGGCCCGGCTGGCTCGCGGCGTTGGTTATCTTTTCGAAAGGGGCAGCTCCGTTAGCGGGTGTAACCGGGAGGGCGAGGGACCACGCGGCTAATGGAGCGGAACAGCTATCGTGACTCCTGATGGATGTTGCTACACAGAGGGGCTTGACAAGCCGGAGAAAAATGGAGTGGCTGGGCGATAAGCGGAGCTCGCCGCTGGAGAGGGCGCGTTCCAAACGCGGGCAGCAGGAGCCCAGCGGAGCCCCCGTTGCCGAGCAGGGGCCGTGGCCGCTGTTCGGGGGGCCCAGCTCCGCGCCCTGCCCGCGGCGGACTCTGGGAGCGCTCCCGGAACGGCGGCCCGCGGCCCATGCAGGTCTCCCCATAGGTTGATTAATGACATCTCCGCTCGCTGGCCTTACGCGGCGAATTTCTGTCACTCTGGTAGTAGAGAAAGATATTTCTTTCCCCTTATTTTTTTTTTCTTCATGGCAGGTAGAAGCGACCTAAAAAAGTCAGATTCCAGTGGGAAGCTTTTGCATATAAAAACAAATTAAGTGACTTCAATCTCGAAGTATGCACAATATCATTTGTCAGTATCACTGGACGCTATTATTCATCCGTGTGTCTGAAGTGCTATTATGCTACTACAATGTCCCGCATATCAGCCCAGGAATTGTTCAACTCTCCTGCAGTTTCCCCATTCGCAATAGCAACCCGTGCTGGTCTGTGCCAACCACGTTTTGCAATTCCACAAATTCTTCCTGTAATGCTGCTGTAATTAATTCCTCCAGGACCCTGATTTTTATTAGAAGTGCCCGCCCGATGCATTTACAGCAGGAGATTTCCCTTTAACTTTCTTTCGCTTGACAGTCCATTTATAAGAGCCTCCTCCACAATATCCACTTTTCCCCCTCCTTTGCTTTTTCATAAAGCAATACACTTATTCATCTTGTCACGACCTCGCAGCCACTGTATTGCATTGCCGCCTTCGGGTGACGGCGTCCGAACCGAACCGAACCGCACCGCACAGCTCCGAAACCAGCGCCTGTCCAGTGGCGAGGGGAAGCCGCTGCTCACCCCGCCCCGTCTAACGCACGCTCTGCCCGGTTTGCCCCTGGGTCTACAGCTCCGATGGCAGCTCAGCGGCGGAGCCTGGGCTGGCTGCAGCCTTTGGAGGCGCCCGGGGCGGCCGAACCCTGCTCTGTCGCACTCGGTCCCTCCGGCTCGGGTGGCCTCAGGAAAGACCCGCAGCCCTCGGCCCTCCCCGGCCGCCCGCGGCAGTTGCGGTGAGGCAGCAGTCGGAGGAGCTAGTGCCGGCGCAGTAAGCTGCCGGTTCAGACCCCACGCCAGCCTCGCTTAGAGCCCCCCTGGCGCCAGGGCCGGGCGAGGCGCTCTTCAGGCTGGGGAGAAGGAGAGGTTTGACCTGTGGCCCTGCGGGATGCGCTGGGCCCTTTCGGCACGCCCCGGGTGGGATGTGCCCTGGCACTTGGGTGTCCCCAGAGGGGCATCCCCATACCCCTCACCCGGGTGCAGAGGGGACCGGTGCCAGCTCTGCTGCCCGCAGTGGCCAAGGGGAGAGATCTGTTTTCTGTGGAGATGCTGAGCACACGGCCCTCCGAGGTTTACACCTCACAAAACCTGGATAGCCCAAGCAGTAGCTGTAAACCATGCCCGGGGCCATCGGGGCTAAACATCTCACATCTATCACGGGACAGAAAGCAGGACATCCCTGTCTCCATTTACGCCTCGACATGCTTTGTTATTGACAGTACCGTGAGATCATCTCACGGAATTAACTGCTCCTCTCGAAATCTCGTCTTCGGACGAAGTTTGAATGATGAGAAGGAAAGCGGTGTCCCCAGGGATCCGCCTGCCCCAATTCCAATCTGAATCCTTGGCCCTCCAAACGGCCACAGAGAAGACACTAAAAATAACATTTTCATTACAGAGATCCTTTTAAAGAGAAACGAGAGGAAGGGGGGGGGGGGGGGGCATTTCTACAACGGGGATTAATGTAAATTGGAGTGGAATAAAAGGAAGTCAACGCTGAGCAAAAAGGGAACTCAAAAGGAAACCAGTAGTAGATCATATAGAGTTTGTTTTGGCCTGCATTGCAGTATTACCGAGTTCTTGACCTCTGCACAGAAAGAGCTATAATCTGTACCGAGACTCCTCCACTTCTAAAGTCTTTGTGCGACTCACAGTAAATTTTCAACATCGAGCATGTTTACTACATTAAACAGCGCGAGGTAGAAAAGTTCACATCACCGTTTTAATAGTCCCACAAACGCTAGTCATCTAATGCACACTTGCAATCTGCGCGGGTTTGTCATCCGTATCCAGCTATCAACCAACGCCGCAGCGCTCCTTGGCAGAGGAGCGGACTGCATTATAAACCGAGAGCAAGTAGTTGCCGAGACGAGAGATTTCGGAGACACTTTTCCTTCCTAGTAAAAGAATTACGATCATTTAACCGTCTTTCAAGCTGCTCCCTTCCCGAGCGCTTTTGCCTGGATATGGGGGAAAGTAAAAGCTCTCCAGCCCTAGGTTACCGCCTGCTACCCCGGCCCAAGGACCCTGCCGCTCACCCACGTTACTCCCTGGCGGGGAAGCAGGCAGGCTTCGCGGCGGTCCCTTGCAGCGGTGGGGCGACGAGGAGGGGGAAGAAAGAACATCACGAGGAGATGGGTCCCTCCCTCGTCTCCTCGGGTTGGCTCATCAGGGAGACGGGGATATGGGAGGAATGGCCCTGCGGGAGCCGGCGAACTCCAAGCCTCTGCCACAATGGGGTGGATAGGGATCTCAAAGGACTCCCGTGAGCTACCCGAGGAGGCTGGTACAGGGTGAACACCGCCTGTTGCATCCCGCCGCGGAAAGAGGCAGCACCTCTGGTTCCAAACACCTCCGGTTCCCGAGCTCGCCACACTGCTAAAAGCGAGCGGGGACGGCTGCCGTCCTTAGCCGGTGAAAGGAGGGACAGGGGCGTCACGCCGGGAGTTAGCACCATCCCCTGCGCACCCCGCGCAGCAGTGCCGTCCGCATCCCTATCCCATTCATCCCTGCCGGCCTCGCCGTTCAGACGCGGCCACCGAGCCATCCACTGTCGAAGCAGAGCTGGCAAACGGCCTGAACGGCGAAAAGCGAGGGAAAACTTCAGAGAATGGGTACGGAATAAGTACAGTCTTTTAAAAAATAATAACGGTTTGGCCAAATCAATATATGTGTATTAACACAGGAGGTCGGTTTTCAGGCCGCTGGAGAAGTGGCTAAGGAGTCGCGTCCGTTTCTGCACCTTAACTGCTAGTCTCCTTTCTCGATATCACTTCCTAGGAAGTGCACTTGTAGTAGGAACACCGTTTTTCAAGATGCTTCTGAATGTATGCGGAAGGGGATAAGGGAGTCACCCTGTGCTCGGGCTTCAGTGCTGAAGCTCTGTGTAACGGGAGCTGCCCTCCACACGGTGCAGGTGTGAGATTTAAGGGCTTAAACCCTTATCCTACCGAAGGAAGTAGCAAACCACCAAGGGAGGGGAGCAGACCAAGGCCAAGGTCGGGCAGAAACCGTTCCGGTATCGCCGCTCTGCCCGTTCGTGCTGGGATGCAGGAGCCCTAGGCGGGAGGCGGCGGCCCGGGGGCGATGCTTTTCCCCCCCTCTGACGCCACCGACGGACATACACACGGAGGAGGGAGCTCTCGGCACAAGCAGCGCTTTTCTATCGGAATCACACGTGCCGGAACGGGGCCCGCACAGCTGAAAGTACAAACGCCGCAGGGGACAGCGCCCGAGGTGCCGCGGCAGCCGGGAGCCCCGACACGGGAGCTGGGCAAGGGCCGAAGGGGCGGGGGAGCGGCCAGCCCAAGCGCCCCTGCAAACCTTATTTATAGATTTCCCCGAGCAATCTCTGCCGTTCCAGCGCAGGAGCTCCCCCGGCCAATTATTCGGCAAGCTAATCTCTCTGGATAGGCTTCTTTCCTTCCTTCATTACCTCATTCCCTCCTTCCCTTGACGTCAGCTCAAGTTCATTAGCAAAGTGGCTTCTGGAAGTGACAATTTTGTTGTCCCACATCCAGTGTTGATTAATCAGAGATGATATAACCGGCCTACAAGAGGAGCCGCTCGCCGCTTCCTTCACGGAGGCACATTGTTTTGTATGCGAGGGTCACTTAGCAACGCCGAGCTACGGGACTGGCTCCAAGTTCACAAAAAGTTGAAGAATAATTTTTGGGGAACTTCTTTGGTCACTAAACACATTGTAAAACTGCGAGAGACACTCGCAGCCCCCATGCCAGACCGAAGAGAACGGGAAGCCATGCTTCAAGGGACCCGTCTACTGGCCGGGAGCGCTAGCGCCTGCAGCAAGGCTCCAAGCGCACCTTTCTCCCCGCAGGGAAACCCGACGGGTTTATTGTCCCGTTTTCAATAAATAACCTCCCTGCAGGTCATTCCCCGTGGAGCTGGGAGCCATCGGAAGAGCTCTTGCTCTGCAAGCCGAAGCCCCTGGACGCGGCTGCTTTTTAATTGCCTGTACCACTCTCTGTCCATCGCTGCTGCTCACCAGCGAGCGCTCTCACATCTTCCCGGCCTGGAGGAAGAGCGGCTGGGAGAATCCCAGGGTGGAGTGGGTGAAGGAGCAGGGATCCCGTGGCCTGAGCGGGCTATCCCCACTGTGCAGCGTAAGCCAAGGGCAGTTGCAGAGCCCCCGTCTGGCCCGGGCAGTGAGAGATGCCCTGGAGCAGCGTTGGGGCTACCCCGGGCGTTTCCCCCCGGCGCGGATGAAGAGAGAACACAGGCGGGGCAGCCCGGCTCCCGCTTTCCGAAGGCAGTCAGTACCTGCCGCCGGAGCGAGGATCCCCGAACCGGTAGCCTAGTGCCCGACCCCCGGGGGGCTTGATGTAGTGCCCACGCCGAGAGGCCACGGACCCCGGCAAACCCTGGCCCGGGGTGGGTAGGAGGCCCCGTAAAGCTCTGAGACATGATGTGGCTCAGGGTGGGAGGCGCAGTGTCCTTTTTTGTTTTGTGGGGATTTGTTTTGGGTCGGTGTTTGTTTTTAACGCGTGAATCTTTGTTTCTTTTGAGAAAGGAAACCCCAGATCTGTTTCATTGACGGAAGGAGAAAGCTGTTGGGACGGCACGCAGGGAGGAGACCACGACTCGCGCAGGAGAAGGCAAGGCAAGGTACCTGTTGTAAGGGGTCCGGAGGAGCAAGGCTTGGCTGCCAGTGCAGCTGTCGGTGGGGGTGTGACAGCCGTACACAGGAGCAGGCACCGAGTACTGCTGTTCCCCTGCGGAGAGAGCGGCACAGAGTCAACCCCGCGCTACGGAGGGGGCTGCAGGGCTCCGTCCCCCGGGCCTGGGCAGCTCTAGCTCCGCGACAGCACTGCAGTGAGACAGCGGCATGACCCCGGATTGCCCTGCGGGCCGGGCCACCGCGGGGCTGACATTACCTAGCGAAGGCTGCTGGCTGATGGGGTCCTCGTGTTTGAAGGAGTGGTTTGTAAACTGGGCGGCGTGGTGCGACGGCGTGTGGCCATAGCTGGGGGTCCCGTCAAACGCCACGGTGCTGTAACCTGCCGAGGGAGCGAGCATTGAGGGGTTAGGACGTGCCTTGGGTTCGCTCGGCTGACAGTCCCCCCCTCCTCCCGCCAAGCCTCCTCGGGCGGGCGTCGAGAGAGACGCTCATCTCCCCCGGTGCTGCTGCCCGCCCACCATGAGAAAAACGACAACGAGTGTCCCTCCGTTCATCTCCCAGCACCTGAACTTTGCAAGGCTGCGGACCGGGCCGAGCCGCAGCGGTGGAAGCCCGGTGGGATCACCATGGACCCCGATGGAACCCCCGCGCGGTGGAGAGTGGCGCGCCGGGAAGCCCTCTCCGACGGGCGGAAAGTCGGAAGTCTCGTCCGTGTTTAAAGAGAACAGATTGGCTTCGGTAATAAAAAGGATGTTTTCATTAATTGATGCTCATATTAAAGAGGAAGGTTCCCATCTGCTCAGTGTACTCCTCTGCCGTTTCCAATTTAGAAGTTACCCTTTAATCTTCTTTTTTTTTTTAAGGCCGCTTTCTGAAGAGTCTGCAATAAGGCGGAATGTTACATGCAAAAATAAAACTCCTTCTTTCAGCGAAAATTACTCTCCCAAATAATAAACAGCTTGTTTTGTTTCCTACACCGAGCAGATTTAGATGGAAAGCACCCACCTCTGCTGACCCCGGGCCAACACCAAACCGTAAATCAGGTGTTTGGACACCAGCTCTCATTAATGACTTGGAGCTGGCTAAACAACTCAGCTAAAAAAGTAATTACAAAGTAATATTATCTCGGAGGCTTCTCGGCTCATCAGCGTTTACCCCGAGAGCCGAGCTCCTCTCAGAGTCATTCTTCCAAAACAACAAACCAAAAATTCCTGCCCGGGCTGGGAAAAGAAACCAAACGCAGCCCTGCTCGTCCCCCCGAACCCCACTTATCCAGCCGGGGCACACCCTCCCTGCCCGTCGGGATGTGGCGTGTGGCCGGGAAGGATTTTGTCAGTCCACTCCTGGGCTGTTTTCAGTCTCCCCTCTCAGCTCCCTTGGGTCCCGGGTGCTGGGGTCTGCATCGCAACCGCCGATCTATGGATATATATCACGGGGGGGGAAGAGGAGAGGCAAAAAAGCGGTGCAACTGTTGCTTCTCGATTTCATTCTCTTTGCAGACAGCCTGGATCTAGCGACATTACAGAACTTCATTAACCTTGCGAGGGAGCAACGACAGGGGCAACGAGGGGTGGGGGATGAGGGAATGAGGGAGGAAGAAATAATCCTTTGAAACATTCCCCTTCGCGAGGAATGTAAGCCGGCGCTGAGGCTGCGGGGCTGGGGTAGATGTGGGGCTGTCTTGTCCCACATCCCCTCGCCCCAGGAGCCCAGCTCTGCCTCGCTGCGGCAGCGATGACAGACCGGTACCTCAAGGGCTCCCATCCCACAGCTGCTTCTCGCTCCTTATCTCCTCCCTTAGCCCTCAGAGTAGAGCCTCAACCCTCAACTCCCTTTTCGCCGTTTTCCTGATTCTTTTTTAACTTTCAGCAAGCACTAACACTTTCCACGTTACTTCTGGCCCGGCGCAGACTTTCGGTGACCTTCAAAACTCAGCTCGGAGCAGAACGAGGTTTTGGCCGCGTTTTCCGGTGTTGCCTGACCCAAAGCTTCAGGAATGTGATAAGAAAGTAGAGTTCTGAACCGAGCTGCCGATAGTGAGGTCTCTTTAATTAGGGCGTTATCAGAGACAGTCCTGATTAAGATGTGCTGAAAATAATTGAAAGTTGTACATCTGGCGGAGAACTGGAGGCGTCCATTTGTTGGAGGAGCCCAGCTGGATGAAAGAGACAGGCGAACGAGGAGAGGAAAACTGGGCAGAGGTTTCAAAGCTTTGGTTCCCTAACCCCCACACCACTCCAGACTTGGCAGAAGTGTTACCGCAGAGCCAAGGTAGCATCTTTCCCACGGTCGGAGCAACCGGCTTAAAAGAAACAACCCAGGAGTTCAGCCTTGAGGAGATCCAAAGGAAGAACACTTTATCCATACGCACACACATAAAAAAGGAAATCAAACGCTCTTTGCCGAATTCCTCCTTGCCGAAGGAGTTCGCTGCGTGTTGCCGCCGAACATAACTATGGCTAAGCAGCGGCGCTGTTCATGCGGGGAGCAGCCCCGAACTTAGCGAAGCCCCCAGGCCCGGCGAATCACGGGAGGAGCGGGACTCCACTCTCGCAGGGTCTCGATCCAACCGACCGGGCCCGGGAGGTGCAAAGAAGTGTACGGCCACTGGGCCCCGGCTCCCGGGCACGCAAAGGGGTCTGTGTGCGGGACCTTGAGCCGCAGACCGAGCGCCTCCCGCAGAGAGCTGGGGACCAAGTAAATCGGAGCACCGGCTCAGTGGCGCGTTAAAGGCTCTGTTTCTCTCTGGGGTGGTTAAACTCAGGCTACAGGATGGGGCGGGGTGGCAGGTATTTTTTCCCTCTCCTACCCGCGCACACACACCCAGGGCCGAGCTATTCCATTACCCTCCTCTGCACCTTCCCGTAGCTATTTCTGCCCAGCCATTAAAATCCTCTGCGATATCTAAAATCCTTTCATATGTCAAAGATTTCCCCGGCAGAGCTCCCTGATCCACCGCGCTCTGTGTTGGCGCGATCACAGGACGCTCCCGAGCGGATCTCAGAGCCCCGCAGGGTACGCAGAGGCTCCGGCGCCCCGCCGCCAACCCGGCGAGGCCGACTCTGTCGTGGAGTGCCAGGGCTGCTGCTCATCTCCTCAGCCGGTCTCGGCGGCAAGACCCCGGAGCCCCGCTCTGCGGTTCCTCACATTAACTGTGAGCCAGGCGCCGGGCGGCCAGCGGGGCCTGGAAACGAAGGCAGCGGAGCGGTGGCACAGGGATGCACTGCCCGAAGGAGGCCCGTATTCGGCCGTGCAGCTGAACAAACACTTCCCCACGGTCGCCGTTACCTCTCCGCACTGCAAACGTCGCCCCGGGCCGCCTCGCCGGCCTCGGCTGACACACAGCCTAGGCCTCCGCTCCGGCCCTTCGCCGTGCTTCCCTCCGCCTGCAGGCGCGAAGGCCCGACCCCCCTCGGTCAGACGACCCTGGGGCAGCTGAAGGAGAGGGAAACAGACCCAAAAGGCCCCGGCCAAGCTCTCCGCAAGCTGTCCCCCTTTCCTTCCTCCTCCTCCTCCCCTTGCACCCGCAGATATTTGTACTGCAGCCACGGGAAGAAAAACGACTAGACGGTGATCCCGGGGCCACAGTCAGGGAATGACCCATCCATCGCCCTGCCCTGCAGCCCACGGGAATTTCTCAGCCGCTGCGAGCGACAGCGCAGTCGATTTCGGCCACGGGGATGATGAAGATAAATCACGGCCTGGGGCATTCAGTGCATAATTCTCTAAAGGACTTGAAAGCACTAACGTGAGGACAGCGGTTTTCGGATTCGGGATGGGGTTTGGAGGTACACCCTCTTCCCACCCCCGCATAGACTTGCTGAGGGAATTGTCTTGGGGCACCAGCCTCACATCCACTCCAGCACCGGTGCCATCCCCAGCCCGAACAACCAGGCGAGAGGCTGCTCCGACCCGGGGAAGGCCCGGGGGGTCCAGCCTGCCTGGCAGAGCAGCGGGCTGCGGGCGAGCAAGTCGTGGCTTCTACAGCCCCCTCGGAGTGAAGTGGCTACCGCCCAGGGAAGGAAAGGACGCACGGAAGGGCTGTCTCGCTTAACCCTGCTCGGCCCCTGCGGAGAAAGGCTGAGCTCGGTGCTTACATTCAGCGCTGCCCGGCCCGGCCAAGCGGGGTCTCCGAGGGCTGCCCCCCGAGCCCGGCAGCTCTGCCCTTACCCTGGTTGCGGATCGCTTGCTGGCTCTCCAGGCAGTTGGGCAGGTAGGGAGCGTTGGGGAACATCCTCGCCTGGCCGGAGGGCGGCTGGCTGGGCGGCGGGGCGCCGAAGGGCCCATAGCGGCAAGCCCCGGCCGTGCCCGTGAACTGACCGGAAAAGTGGACGGTGAAGGCGCTCAAGTATTGCTCCTCGTGCGGGTCCGACCCGTTCCAGCTCGGCTCTTGCTTGATGAAGGAATGCGCCCCCAGCGAGCCGTAGGAGGCCCCCGGGGGGAAGTCCAGGACGGGAGCCCACTGCGCCGCGCTGCTCACCGGCATGGTGCAGTTGCTGTTGCCCGGCAGAGAGGGCACGGAGGGCAGCAGCGCGTTGAGGTCGCGGACATCGGAGCTCATCTGCTCGCAGACCTTCTGCCTGCCGCCAGGCATCCAGTCTGTCCCCGGGCCGTACTTGTTCCAGGACACCTGGCCTCTGCCCGCCAAGCCGGAGGCCGGCTCCGGCTGCAGGCACCAGGCTGGCGAGCTCAGCCCTTTGGGAGAGGTTTGATCCGGCACGGAGCTCCCCGGGTCCAGCCCGGCGGGAGCTGGCAACAGCGACAGGGAAAGGTTGTTCTCCAGGATCGCCTCCGGGGCTGCACCCGCTCCCAGCGCAGGGCCGGGCAGGGCCGTGTGTGCGTGTGCCTGTGCGTCCGCGTGTCTGCCTGCCTGCGCGTGTGTCCGTCTGTCTGTGCAAGGGGGGCACAGCCTCCTCGCACGCCTAACTTCGGATGCTTGCCCGTCCTCAACTTTGCAAAGCTCAAATAGAGGCGCTTGCAGGGGAGGAGGAGTCAGCCACGCCGATCCTCCATTCACACAACCTCCGCCAAGGGGCTGCCCACAGCCAGCTCTGCTGAACCCAGCCGGACAGACACGTGGGGGAGGAGAAAGGGGGACAAGGAGAGCCGGGGATGGAGGGGGAGAGGTTACTGTGGGAGAATATATCTTCCTACACATCACTCCCACCCTTCTGGTGCGAGTGCCACTAAATCTCACCCTAACGTCCCTTCTCTTTAGAAGAGACCGTTAGCGGGATCCAGGTGGCCAGTAAGTACGTGTGGATGACTTCCCCACCAGGTCCGGCCGTGTCTGTCGGGACTCCCGAGGGTGGCCGTGTCGCAAGCCCCGGGACCGGGCGGATAAGCCTCCGCCCTTGCAATAGGTGGGGAAAGTGATCCGGGCCGGAGCGGGCGGACCCGTCCCTGCAAGGGGAAAGTGTCTTTCCGATCGCTCACCAGGCGCTCGCCTCAGGGGGCTCCGAGCCAGCCGCGCCGAGGTAGCAAGAGCTCTGTCGGCGAGGACAGGAGTGGGCGCCCTTTGCAAGAGCCCGGGGCCGGCGTGGGCCTGGTCCCAGGTCCGTCCCTCCAACCTGCCCTTGTGTGAAGGGGAAGGAAGAGGTTAGGCAGGCGGGGGAGGATCGCAGTGCTGTAAGTAACCTGCTTTTGGTAGATTCACCTGGCCCTTCTCCTGGGCAGCCCTGGACTCTCTCTTCCCTCCCCAGCCTCCTAGACAGCAGCTCCTCAGCGTGCAGCCCGTCGGCGGCAGAGACCCGATGGCGCCTTATCCGTTACCCCCGGACGGTCCTTCCAGGCTACTCGACGGGTTTAGGGTCGGCACCAGCAGAGAGGGATGCCGAGATTTCGGCGGCGCGGGAGTCCTCCCAAATCGGCAGGAAGCCCCGGGGCGGGCGGCAGAGACCCGCGGGACATGGCGGTACCTGCCGCAGCCAGGTGAGACGCGGGGCACAGGCGAGTCCGCTGCCGCGCCAAACGTGAGAAGAGGAATCCTGCCGTCTTCCTTCAGAACTGCTAATTAATAATCACCGGAGGGGTGGGGGAGGAAGCGGTGTTGCTCCTACGAGCACGCGTGGCGCAGCTCCCGCGGGCAGTGTGCTCGCAGGGTACGCGTGGGAGCACCGCCCCGGCCCCTGCGCATCTGCACCGGCCACTACCAAAACCGAAAACGCCCGCAGCTCATAGCCGCATCCTCCCCAGCAGCGTCTCCCTCCTTTCGCAGCGTTTCTTTTTGATAGAAGAAACGCCACAAACACCTGCCGCTGAAAAGACCGAACCCGTTGTCTTCTCGGCGACAAATTACACTTCGGTATTTTCTTCCCCCCGCTCCGTTAAAGGTTACCTCATGCATCGCCAATCTTGAAACAACATTTTAGAATTCAGAGGGTTCTACGACAAAAGAGATTAAAATCAGCATTATTAGATTAGCCAAGTATTCCATTTTCTCTTTAAACTTTCACCAAAACTGTCAGGTTTTGTTATTATGAAATTACGTTAATTTTTACAAACTAGAGAATTCCCTTTTCAAATCTTTTAATGCGTGAATCTATTTATTGGTGGAATCTACGTGTAACGTAATAGCGAAAGACTTATCTTTGCCGGTATTGAAGATCGTCTAAGTTTACAGGATCCGCCGCTTCCCACGAGTACACCCGAATCTAAACCACCCTCGGCCGGCACCTGGGATACTACCGGCCCCGGGCCCTGCTCCCCCTCGCCCTGGGCTCCCCGCACAACGCAGCCCTCCCGCCCGGTACCCGCGGGGGGTGCGGGATCGGGACGGCTGCTGGGTTTGCCAGGTTCTGAAGTGCCGACCCCTGAGTTTGGTCCCTTAATCTCCGCGTCTGAAACGGACAACAGACATAAATAGAAGTCTTTGCCCAGCCTAAGCGGAGTATTTAATTTCCCGTGAAAACTAGACCTCTCCTGGTACAGAAAAAGCCTTTCCTGCAGGGGTCTGTTTTTCGAACCAGTGTGGGGGTGTTTCTTATCTTGAAATAACCAAGCTTGATAAAGTGAAAATGTTTTCTTCATCGCTTAGGTCTGCGGTGTTCCACCTGGGAGGAAGAACTGCCAAAGCCCTTCCAAACCTTCGTCCCTCTCGCCCTTCCAGCGGTAAAACAAGCAGACCCCCTGCTCATCGAGGGTGGGAAAGCAGAGGTCGTCGGCAGCTGCGTGATGCCCTCTTGGCCCTGCGCAGCGCCGGTCACCGGCACCCTCCCGGGCCGCCTCAGCCGTGCAGGGCACGGAGCGGTCGCGGGCTAAAAGGCCGGGCTGAGACAAGGATTCTCCGAATCAGGACGAGTACCGCGACTTCCCGAGAGAAACCCTCAGCACTGCAACCCGAGGAGGGGACGAGAAGCCCGGACTCTTCTACACGGGGACGGGTTGGGAACTTCTGGAAACGGCCAGCGCTACTTCCCGCAGTCATTCCCTTCCAGCCAGGGAGAGAGTTCCCCGCCCTGCTGCATAGCCGGGCACCCACTCCTGCAGCCCAGGCCTGGAGCGTTGGCAGCAGGTCCCTAGGGAGCACCCCGGCATGCTGGGGGGAGCTGCTTCCCCGTGCCTGGGTCACCTGCTCACCTCCTCCCCGGAGATCCCGACCTCGATGACAGTCACTCCGTCTAAGCAAACCCTTCGCCGGCTCCCTGGCCTCGGTGCACAGCCGAGAGCAGTGGCCGAAGAGGTGGCAGTTGAGGAGACAGCATCTTCTTTGCCGAGGTCTAGACGCGGGCGGGACAGAACTTTTTTCCCTCTCCTCTCCAAACACGGCCCGATCCAAATCTTTGCCAGGGAGCAATCAGGCTTGTTTTGCTCGGTGTTCCATACCTATGTTAATTCCCGATAATGCTCAATCTCCGATTGTGCTCGAAGGCACACTGTACAAGATTAACATATTTCTAGGAGGAGAATTATTCTAGAGTCCCACGCGATCCCAAGCAAAAGGGGCTCGGGAACCTGTTCCAGCCCGGGCAGAGCTGAAGCACCTCCCCAGCTGGCGTTTCCCTGTTCCCCTTTCTCACCTGCCGTGCCAACCAGCTGAAGGACTGGTAATTCTTACTACCCCATACTAAATATCCCCTCGCGGCTTGGTGGGGAGGGGAACTGACTTCAACAGAGATAAATCCCCTACCCAATCCCGCTCACAGCACGCAGTGGATCTGTCTCACTCAGGGAGCTGTTCAGAGTTCGAGTGCCAAGAACAACAGAAACAAAGCTGCGAAGCACCTCCGCAGCGGCCCCGATCCTGCATCCCCCGATGCCCACGGCACCCCGCCGAGCACCGCGGGCAGCATGGCAGCTCCGGCAAGGCGGGCTCTGGCTGAGGGGGCCACCGGCGCGTTTTTGAGCTGGGGAGAGGACATTTCGGTTATCTTTTCAGGGGGCAAAAAGCCTCTTTTTACGGCAGAAGGTGCGTGTCCGCTGCACGGCTCTCCGCGAAGCCGCTCGGGCATTCCGGTTCCCCCGAGGCGAGGGACAACCCGATGGCGGCTCTCCAGTGAACAGCCCCTAGGCTCCGGGGGACATCCGGAGCTCTCTCCCCACTCCCCCAGCCCCGTATCTCAGGTCTGCGCCATCGGCTCCTCCCCCGCGCCCACCGCGGGCTGTGCGCGCCGCTGCAGGCCCCGCCAGCGCGGCCCCGGCCCGGCCGGGAGCAGCGGAGCGAGCTCACGGCCCCCGGACCGCCTCCTCTCGGAGGGCCGAGCCAGGCCAGGCCAGGCCAGGCCGGTGGGGCTCTGGCCATTATTTTACCGTAAATCTTTGAAACGCTGGAACTAATTACGGAGAGGATATGTCTCAATTTGTTCCGCATTAGTGCCGCGCCGGGGCTCAGACACCGAGCACGGGAAATTGATGAGCCCAGCCCAGCCGCGCCGGGACCGCGGCCCTGACCCCATGTTCACCTCGGCTCCAGCCCCGGCACCTGCGGGACCCCTGGGCCGAGCCACCTCGTCCGAATTTCCCCTAGCGCTGTTCGGTTCGGTGCCGGAGGTGTGAGAGGTTCGGCCCGAGCCAAGTACGACGTACTACGAGGGCTCTGCTAAATTCATCGGTGCACTGCCTTTGACGAGGCTTAGCATAAATCACAGGGCTGTATAGAGCCCTAAAGTATCCCTCTGCATCCCGCCCTTGCCGGGGCTCTGGTGAAGAGGAGTTCACAGAAAACAGGGTATTGGTAACATCCTTCAGATTCAGTGTATGTGATGCCTTAAAAGTCTTAGATATATAATGGGATATACTGATGGAGCAGCTAAAGCTATTATATAGAATTTATATAGGTACTTGATACATACAAAAGAAATTGGGGGCATGGGGGAAGCTCTTATGCTCAGTTCTTGTCTTCTCTAATGGTTTTAAAAGTAATAAAACTATTATTTTGGGAAGAGAAATTAAAAAATATTCTGAAACTTAATACATAAGAAACTGATAGCTGAGGAATTCATTTCTCCCTGGTCGTAGAATGTAGATCCCACTATAAAGGCAAACTGAACTCTAAATGTAGTAATATAGAAGCAAATCAGTAACAATATTGCCACAGACACAATCCAAAGAATTCTTTGAGCCACCTGGAACAGCATCTTTGAATACACGTTGGAAATGTAAACCAAACATTTGTACATCCACAAGCATTACCAAAGCCCTGGTGGAAGTGGACCTGCTGTCTCTAGCCACATGCTGCAGTATTTGTGGTACCTCTTGGGTAAGGAAAGGCAGTTTACCACCAGCAGCCTCAAGTCTCGCTAGCTGCTGGGTGGTACAGGACAGAGACAGAAGGTGAATTGTCCTTTACCAGTTTCTCCAGTAGACTGACTGGTCATGAATGTGTTTTCCTAAACACTAACCATCCATGCCTTTATCCTTCAAATTCATTCTTGAACAAACACACTAACAGTGCAAGCAAAGTCCAAATCTCACTTTGTCCTTGCAAAGCTGTTCTGCAGCCCTGTACGGAGATACTCCCT